GTTTAAGTTAATGTTTTGTCTCCGAGTCCTGCACGTGGGTCCAGCCACTGACAGCCACACAACTCATCGTGACACTAACCCTAAGTTGCTCTCCAATGGATTAATTGAAATATGAATGTGTGTGACAGAAAGCTGTTTGAGAGCTCCGGACGTGTAGTAAAGTGCTGTATAAGAATCAGTTCTTTCATCTTTTACCCATGAGGCATGGAGTTCTAGGAGTCCTTAGGACACAGCCAATCAGTCTGAGCCAGAATTCTGGCTGGGCTGTAAGGGATCAAATACTCAATTCATAACTTTTGGTTTCTCTCCCCCATTAAAATGAATCTGTCATAAAAATCAGAGACTGTTCTTTTCTTTGTAACTAAGCAGACTTACAAATTCAACATACTTATTTCTCCAACTGTGTGTATCTGTAAATGATGAGTTCTGTTGTGCACATTCATGCCATATTCACATGTATACAGCATAAACTCCAACTGCACAATCTGACTACAGTTGGTATTATGATGACACTTAATGCATGTTTGGCTCTTTATTCTCTTCATATCCTCTTGATATATCTCATTAATCCCACTTTCTGTAGATGAGTTGGCATTTCGACATTTAAGCCCAAAGCTTAGAGATGCAGTGTTACAGAAGTTAATGGATGATGTTTGGATCAGACTCAAAGAGTCGTGATTATGTTCAGACTGATTACAGGGTCATGCATTAGTCACCCAAACGGTGGACCATTGAGAGGAGAGAGAGGGAGGAAAAGATAAACAGATGGATCATCTGGGACGGCTTTGTTCATTCTGGGTTTGAGCTTCTCTTACACTTGAGACGTGTAAGAATTAATGACAAATTTGCCTGCAGTAATTGGACATTACTTTTTATGAAATTCAGTGCTAAATGTTTCACACACAGCAGCAATATTTGGAATATTTAGAGGCATTTTGAACGGACTGGTATCACAACACAGATTTAAGGTAAGTTACGTATCCTATCATGACTAAAGTGGTGGATTTACCAGAAAACGTGTTGTGCTTTTGCTAAGAGATGTTGGTTAAACAAATTGTAGTTATGTGAGAAAAAAAAA